TGGTGAGGATCTCACCCAGGTCTTTGCTCAGTAAGCACACTATTGACTGAGCTACACAAAAGCTTCATTTTCGTGGGGTTTTGTTGGTTGATTGGTTTTGTTTACTTGTTTTTGGTAATTTTGGTACTTAAAATGTCTCAAAGCTTAGTGCTGAGATGCCATCTAGTTCTCCAGAGAATGAGAAGGCTGTGATGTACCTGGTGGGGGGGAGGGGTGTAGCAGAAATGTTTCATCCAGGCAGGAGCCACAATAGGGCTGGGTGTGCATTCAGCATTGTTTAGTCTCCCGGCTGAGAGTCTCAGCATTCAAGAGGCTGAACCAGCAGGGTCCAGAGTTGGGGGCCAGCCTGGGCTGGATCTAAAGGCAAACAGGACCTGGAAAGGGTGCGTGACAGTCAAATCCAGGGTGTGAAGCCCAGACACAGAGATACAGGACATGGATGCAGGGGAGTGGGCTTCAGCTGCAAGAGAGAGGAGGAGGGAGAAGAGACAGAGAGAAAGACAGACAGACAGACAGACAGACAGACAGACAGACAGACAGAGAAAGAAAGGAGGGAGAAGAGACAGAGAAAGAGAGACAGAGAGGAGGGAGAAGAGACAGAGAGGCAGAGACAGAGAAAGAGAGAGAATTCTGGAAGAATTTAAATGGGGCAGAGCTGGCCTCTGCCTCTCCATACACGTTTAGGGGTGGAAAGATAGAAGAGTAAGGGTTCTCCAAGAGGGTGCCAGGATTCTAGCTCTGAGAGGACGAAATTCCTAGGTTTCTCAGCCTCTCAGGAGGCAGTCTTTGAGAGGCCCAGAACCTAGCCAATGGCTATGCAGTCCACAGCTCCTCCCCTCCCCACCATCCCTCCTGGCCAACAGGACACGCCTGGGCTGCTCAACAGCCTCTGCCCCAAGTATGAGCTTTCCCAGAAACCTTCCCCTGAGTCTGGCATGAATTCTGATGCTTGCTGAACCCCAACTGCTGGCTTCCAGGAGCGGTACTAGGGAGCCCTGAGGAGTCGCTGCTCAGGTAAAGGCCTCTATACTCAGACCCAGGACTCGCCTCACAGGGACACGTTCTCTGGAGGAGGCTGGAGGGGGTAGCCTGGACGCATAGGTCCTGATGGTGAAGGGAAACACTCCTCCTTCTGCTCTGGGCTCTTCCTCCTCTCAGTCGGCAGAGGAGACAGGGCTGGGGGCCTGGAGCTGAGTGGGAAAGGGGTTGAGCAGGGCGGAGTTGGACTGCAGACAGAGCAGCAACGCCTGAGCCTGCAGAGCCTTGGGGTTAGGGCTAGGCCTCCCTGGGTGTTCCTAAGACGCTGCCAGCTCCACCCACCTGAGACGGGACTGTGCAGAGGAGCCAGTGACTCAAAGCAAGGCCACCACGTGGCCAAGTGATGAGTGGCATAGGCAGATGGGGTGAGGAGTACAGACACTCCCCAGACGCTATCACCCAAGACCCACCAGGTAGAGAAGGGAGACGCGCTGGAAGAGCAAGCAGTTCACTAAAACCTGAGGAAATGACCCCCGACTCAAAACTGGGCAGTTTGCAGAGTGAACTCGGGAGCCAGCCTGCCTAGGTCTGAGTCCGGACTCTGTTATTTACTACCTATGCAAGGACAAGGGATTGCTTAGCCTCTCTGATCTCCACTAGGTGAGAAAAATGCCATACCCCTTGCTATGAGGGAAAAATACTGGGTTTTGCAAAATGCTTAAACTCTTACTACATAAACACGGTCTGAGTTGGCTGTGACCACACCCTGCTTTGCAGCTGACCCCCGCAAGGGTCATGTGGACTGTGACTTTCCACCCAGGCCAGCACATGAAAGTGTGTGGTTCCCTACTTTAATCAAAACTTCTTAGAGTGATCCCACAGTGCCTTGGCCTCAGTGGACTCCACAATCCCCTCAACAGTCAGGCAGACAGGACTCCCTGGTGGAGAAGCAGGGCACCTTTGACACAAATTAAGATGAATTTGCTTCTGTTGGTCATTCATGCCAAGCTCACCAGTGGCACTCACCAGAATGGCATTTTCCATGCTGGTGTTTTGAAAAAGTTGTCCAGCAAGCTGATCAAAGCTGTGTCCAGATGAAAGGGGGCTCTTTGGTCAGAAGAGTTTGGGCAATGCTGCCCTGTTTTATCCCGCTTTGACGGAGTCACAAAGTGAATTTACGAGCATGGGTGAGGAAAGGGACCTACTTAATTTTGCTGAACCCAGCTGTTTGCCAAGTTGTCTTGAACACAGAATTAGTTTCTCTTACCACTCCTGTTGCCTGCCTTTGGACCAGGGTGCCATGAAACAATAGTTTGGGAACATTGGCCCACCTGCTTATCCTGGGGAGCCTCTTGTATAAAGAGCACTGTGGTCCCCTACTTTAAATTGCCCCACCTTCAGGTAATTGGCACCTAATTGTCAGACATTTGCAGTTCCATTCCCCAGACCAGCAAAAGACAGAGAGCAGGTTCCCCTTAAGGAGGACAGTCTGAGGGGGACTAGACCGAGGCTCAGGGACTCAAGATGACTGATTCCTGGCATCAGCACCCACCCACTTTTATGAACAAGCCTGCTCTGACTTAATAACTATGCCCCCATGCCAACTCTGCATTTAATAGTCACATAACTTCATAAACGCCTCTAAGCCTCAGTTTCTCTCAGCTGTAAAATGGGGATGATCACAGTACCTAGTCCTGTGATGAGACATTTCTGGGAAGCATTCCATAACGTGGGAAATTGCATTCTTGTTCCCCTGCAGGAGCAGCCAGCCCTTGCGTCCACCATGAACTGGAGCATCTTTGAGGGGCTCCTAAGTGGAGTCAACAAGTACTCCACAGCCTTTGGCCGCATCTGGCTGTCCCTGGTCTTTGTCTTCCGAGTGCTGGTGTACCTGGTGACAGTCGAGCGTGTGTGGGGAGACGACCAGAAGGATTTTGACTGCAACACCAGGCAGCCAGGCTGTACTAACGTCTGCTTTGATGAGTTCTTCCCCGTGTCTCATGTGCGCCTCTGGGCTTTGCAGCTCATCCTGGTCACGTGCCCCTCCCTGCTTGTGGTCATGCATGTAGCCTATCGCAAGGCTCGAGAGAAGAAGTACCAAGAAGAAGTTGGCAAGGGACACCTTTACCTGTACCCTGGCAAGAAGCGGGGTGGACTCTGGTGGACATATGTCTGCAGCCTGTTATTCAAGGCTAGCATAGATGTTATCTTCCTCTACGTATTCCATGTGTTCTACCCCAAATACACCCTCCCTTCGGTGGTCAAGTGCCATGCGACGCCGTGTCCCAACACAGTGGACTGCTTCATCTCTAAGCCCTCGGAGAAAAACATCTTCATCATCTTCATGCTGGTCACGGCTGTCATCTGCATCCTGCTTAACCTTGTGGAGCTGGCCTACCTGGTGATTAAGCGGTGTTCTGAGTGCATGGAATCGAGGCGAGCACTCCCTGCACGCCCAGAGCTTGACCCAAACTGGGTCAACTCTTCCAGCAAACAGAAGGACCTCCTAGCGGGAGACCTCATCTTTCTGGACTCTGACACTCACCCACCTCTTTTACCAGACCGCCCCCGAGCCCATGTGAAGAAAACCATCCTGTGAAGGGTGCCTAGGCTGGACTGGCAGGGTGGGCATGAGTTGGAAGGTTCCAGTGTCTCTCGTGAATGTATTTGGTGGAGGGGGAAGGGCTGAGCTGGAACTGGAGGACCCCACCCCCGGTTGGAATCCAATTGTCCCTCAGCTCCAGGCCACCTGTCCCAGCTGAGTGGCCTTCACTGAATTACCCCTCTGTTTTGTACCTCGGTTTCCTTTTCTGTTAAATCAACACACTGAGTGCCACTTAACAGGGCCTCATGGAAGCACAGATGAGCAGATGCCTTCCATGTGTGTGGCCCAGAGTGAAAAATTAATAAAGATAATGTGTTTGTAGAGTTAAGGTGCCCTTTGGTTTTGGCCTCCGAGACCTTCCTGGAATCAAGGGGTCACCCTCCCCTCCAGAAAAGGGGTCTCTAGATTTTCCTGGGGACTGTTCCGAAGCTAGCCTTTTGCCCCCACTGGAAGTTCAGGCTGTGAGTGTTTGCAGAGATGATGGAGTTTGACACAGTGGGAAGCACCCAGACTCTGGAGCCGGTGTGGCTGCCTCAGAACTCACACAATTTTAGTTCTTCTCCAAAATGAGCTATTAATGCATAGCCTGAGGGGGTCACTGTGAGTACTGACAAGCTCCTGGCAGTACCAGGGTTAGCCAGTCAAAAAAGGCCACATACAAGTGAATCATCATTATTAGGGAGTGCTCAATAAATGCCTGTGTGAAGTGAGGCCGAGGGACCCTCCCTGTGTGTACCTTAACCCTCACTGTCCCACAAGCCCAACACCCCTCTGTAGTGCTAGGACACGCTCCAGCTCCCCCAGAGACATTTCCAACAGACAGAGGCCTGGGACACAGAGGGCATACAAAGCTATGTGCCTGGCCCGAAGCCAACAGCAGCGTTTCATGTCACCAACCTGCTGAATTCCTTGTCTCCAGCAGGGCAGTGGGTGTCCCAGTCTAGAAAAGCCAGGTGGCTTGTCTAGGTTCCAGAACAGAGTAGTGCTAAGATCTAGTCCCCAAATACAGCCCCAGCAGAGTCCTGGGCTGAAATGAGGGTGCCCTTTCCCACAGAAACCAACTGCTGAGGACCTCAGAATCAGTGGCCTGAGGACAGGGCAAAAGAGAGAGTTGGGAACCCGGGGAGAGATGGCACAAGCTGAAAGGGACAGGAACAGGATCCAGGATCCGTGTCACCAGCACCATCCTGTACCAGGACGTTTTTGACACTAGACTCCTGCCTCCATCACTGTAGCCCCACCCACATGCCTACCAACCCAGACAGGCTGGAGGAGCAAGGTGAGCGCCAGGGAGATGAGCCACAGGTGTTTGCTCTGCACCGTGCCCAGGGAAGTCCTCCTGCCCTGCCCAGTCTGCCTACCCACCCCAGCACTCTCTCTTGGCTCATTGGCTCAGAAAGCCCCACCCTGCTGGGAAGCAAGGAACAAAAGCTGCCTCCAGGAGGCCCTCGGGCAGACAGACAAGCCGGCACCCGAGAGTGAGGACCCACGGGGATCCAGAAAGGGTGAGGACCAAACAGAACTGGAGACAGTTTGGGGAAAGGTCCCAGGGAACCTAGGCCTGGGGACTTAGCTTCACAGAGGGGAGCAAAGGAGGGCAGGTTCCCTGAGGGGAGGAAATGTTGTGCTATACTAAATTAGGGAGGCCAGAGGACCAGAGGAGAATCTAGAAGAGACTGGGAAGAGTGAGGCTACAGCTGGGTTTAATCAGCGTCCATTGAGAGTGCATGGGACCTGACAAAAAGCTGGGTCCCAGGAGACAGATGTACAGTTTGGCTCCCAGCCCCTAGCAATTTAACAAGGAAGACATTTGACTGGGTTACTGGAATATATGTGGATATGCCCTGCAGTGGAGAATTGAGGGAGCTCAGCATATGTCCCAGGGATACAGAATCCAGGAGCTGAGTCGGGGATGGTGCCAGGAGGGCTTCTGATGGAACATCATAGGGGGTAGCAAAGTTGGGGTACACAGAACATGCCTGTATGAAAATAATGAGAGATGTGACTATGAGACAGTCACTAATTAGGCAGTCGGAGAAGAGGGGTGTACCTGGGAAGAAAGATGAAAGGCAGGGCAAAGACCATGCCAGGACCCAGCCCCTGCCTCCTCCCCATCTCTTACACACACACACACACACTCATACACACACATACACACATGCACATACGCGCGCGCGCACACACACACTCCAGTGAAATGGTTGGAATTCCAGAGGGACCCACTGTGGTCCAGATGTCAAGACAATAAAAAAGATGTCATAGTATGACAATCTGCTCCGCTCGGACATGGCAGGGAGGGAACAACACCAAGCCACCACAATTGCTGAAGAGCTGGTGGGTAGTTTGGGAAGGCATGCGGCAGAAATTTCCCAGAACCACAAAGGAATGAGGAGAGACTGTTCTGAGATATATGCCACAGAGCCAGTGCTGGGTCCATGAAAACTTCAGTGAATTTGACAACCAATAAAGGCTTACTTACCTTGCCCCTTCTTGCCCTCATCTAGTCCCCAAAGCTAATGGGAGAGTAAACAATCTGATGCAAGAAGTCTCTGGGCCTCTATGGTTAAGGCGTGGGATGAAAGGGGCTGGCTGGCGCATGCATGCGCGATTACTTACATCCCATGTGCTTGTTTCTTTGTAGAAGGAAAAAGACCCTGACTTTTGGAGTCTGAAGACCAGGGTTCAAGACCATCTGTGCTACTTGCTGTTGTGAGACCTTGGGCGGGTACCTCTCACCTCTCAGCCTTAACACACTTTCCTGTGAAATGGGGACTGTGGCCATCCCCTCTCTTAGTCACTGAGAGTCCTCACAATGGCCCAGTGGTTGTTGTGAACAGTTCTGGCCTTGACAACACCTATAAGGACACCCATTTGTGGGTTCTACCAGGCCTTGTGACTCCCAGGGCCTGAGAGATTAGCATACTAGTGCATACACGTCCACGTGAGCCACTGAGGACACAGCCAGCATGAACTGGGGGTTTCTACAGGGAGTCCTGAGCGGCGTGAACAAGTACTCCACTGCCCTGGGCCGCATCTGGCTGTCGGTGGTCTTCATCTTTCGCGTGCTGGTGTATGTGGTGGCTGCCGAGGAGGTGTGGGACGATGAACAAAAGGACTTCATCTGTAACACCAAGCAGCCAGGCTGCCCCAACGTCTGCTATGATGAGTTCTTCCCCGTGTCCCATGTGCGTCTCTGGGCCCTGCAGCTCATCCTGGTCACATGCCCCTCCCTGCTTGTGGTCATGCATGTGGCCTATCGAGAAGACCGGGAACGCAAACACCGCCGCAAACATGGGCCCAACGCCCCAGCCCTGTACAGCAACCTGAGCAAGAAGAGGGGTGGCCTGTGGTGGACATACCTGCTGAGTCTCATCTTCAAGGCTGCCGTGGACTCGGGTTTTCTCTATATCTTCCACCGCATCTACAAGGACTATGACATGCCACGAGTGGTAGCTTGCTCTGTGGATCCCTGCCCCCACACTGTGAACTGCTACATCTCCCGACCCACAGAGAAGAAGGTCTTCACCTACTTCATGGTAGTCACAGCAGCCATCTGTATCCTACTCAACCTCAGTGAGGTCACCTACCTGGTGGGCAAGAGATGCATGAAGGTCTTCCGTTGCCGGTGCCCGAAAACTCGGCAGCCACATCTACCAGATACATACAAGCCATATTTAATCCCCCAAGGAGGCCACCCCCAAGACAAAAACGCTGTCCTAACAAAAGTCGGGATAGCCACAGAGGATACAGGTGTGTATCCATGACCTGCAGGTAGGCTTAACTGGTCACCGAAGACACCCAAGCAAATGGGCAAAGGGAGTGTTGTCTTCTGCAGGAGGTCAGGTGGGAAATGTGGCTTCGGGGGCTCCGGAAGTTCATCCAAGGGTTAGTAGAAGATGGGAAAAATCCTTGAGTCCCTAAATCCTGAGCCTCCAGGGACTTGATGACTGGTGGGGATTTTATATTTGTCAATAGAGTACCTCAACCCCCTTAATAAATATGATATTCCCAGAGCTTTGTAGACAGGTTGTGTGTGGTGGGTGGAGGAGTATGAGGGTGGTGCCTCAAGTAGGCCTCTTGGAGGAAGCCAAGCCACTAAGTGATCATCTGAGTTCCAGCCTCACAACACACACACACACACACACACACACATACACACACACACCCACACACACACACACACACACACACCTGCCACCAGGACATAAGAAGAACAGCAAAGACAGAGCCTATTCCAGGGGCCCTACAGCTCTGCAGCAAACTCTCGAAGGCAAGAAGGCAGGGAGCAATGGGCTCCCTGCTCTGGTCTTCAGAGAGTATAAATCCATCCATACACTGTGGTTCAGGAGGCCTTTGCCTTCCATTTCCTGACCTCTCTAATCCTGCCTAATGCAGGCCCCATGTAGGGAGCACCTGTGAGCATAGGAGAATGCTGCTGAGAGTCTCCCAAGGAGGCAGAGCACATGCCACAGCCCATCAATCCTCCACCAACAGACTTCCCTGAGCTACCTCATCCTTCCCCTACCCTATAACCACACACACCTTGACAGTCCCATAAACATCTTTCTATCATGGGCCAGCCTCTGAGTCCACAAGGTGCCCGTGGGAAACTCTCAGGAGAAATGCATAATACAACTAGCCACTCCTAATTGGCTTTGCCTTCCTCCCCCATGCTGCCCTGCTCACAGAGACCCTCACTTATGAAGGGCACTACTGTTATCTAGCAGTCCAAACCAGGAGTCGGCCCATTACCTTCACTCAACCCCTCCCCCCAAAGCCCCTCGCAGCCCAGATCCCAGCCCCACACCACAGAGCACTGATTCCAACCTCTGAGGGCCTCCTAAGTCAGCTCCTCCATCACCCCACAGCCTCCCATCAATCCTCCCACAGGACCTCCAGATCTACCCTCCACACCTGGATGGAATGATTACTCAGTCCACAAATGTGACCACGCCTTTCCTTCAGCTTTAACACTTCTTTCCACACACCCACCCCTAACCCCATTGCTCCCAAGCTGGCACTACCGACCTCCCTACTCCTCCATGACTTCCTCCCTCAGTTTACTACTGGTAACACCTACCCATCCATGATGCTATAATTGTACCTCCAACCTTAGCCATACTGATCCCTCTGCCCCTCCTGCCTCCTCTGCCAATGTCCTCGACCCTCAAGGACAGCCTTCACCACCACTCTGTATGCCAGAAAAGCTCAGGCCTCTCTCCTGTCACTCTTCCTGGATTGGAATAGCTGATACTACATATGATACCCAACAGCTATGAGCCCTTTAAGGACAGGATGCTGAGTCACCAGGTCCTTGCAGCCTTCAATAAATGTTTGTTAAGTGAGTAAATGGGCTAAAGCCTCTTGGAGAAAAACTTTGTCTTGTTTATCTGAACCTTCTGCCACACCTAGCCTGAGAAATCAGCAAAGTGGTTATACCTTTGTTGGCTCCTTGTGGTTAGCTAAATCTAGTTTAAACATCTTTCATAAAGGTGGGAAAAACCTCCAAGCCACTGGATAGCCTCTATGCTTTATCCTGATTGGGAACAAGATCAGAGAGTCACCTGTCTAAGGTCAAGTTCCCTGGAAGCAGAGCTAGAGACAAGAATTTGACACCTGCGTTGGCTGGAGTAGGGAAGTAAGGTAGGAGGGCTTGAACTAAGTTGGGTATACACCCAGGATCTTAGAGCTTGCCAAATTTGGAAGAAAGGATCATAAATGCCACCACAGAGTGGTCCCACTTGGAAATACAGTACTGGTCCTTTGAACTCTGCTACAAGCCATGGGTTTGGCCTGATCCTGGTATTAGTAGGAAGCTTTGGTTCAGTCGACATCATTTCTCCTGAAATTGCTAACTTGGAACATAGGGATTGGTATTGGGACAATACCACCTTCTGTACTTTTGACTCTAGGAGACAAGGGTGGCTCTCAACCCTCATCAGCCCAGAGCTGTGACCACCCAACCTAAGCACTCTCAACAGAACCATTTGGCCCTACACTGTTGAGACCAAGACAGTTACCAAGTCCAGACCGGGGCAAATTCCCCTGGGAGTCTAGAAGCCCACTCCAGGAGTAGCTGTTGGGTCCAGCACACTGTGAGCTCACCGTGTGATCTGACTGTTCTCATTATATCCTCACATTCCAGAGATCTTACATCCTAAAACATTAGCCAGGTGGAGACCAACTATTATCTGACCAGGCAAGGCCTCCAAAGGTGACTGAGATGAATCCTGTAGGAAGCTCCCTAGACACTAAGATGCCTCATCCTGTCTCCCACATTCTCAAGCAACCACTCTTGCCTCCACTCAAACCTCCACCTTCCTGAGAAATCCCCATGTGTTTCCCTTCTGTCTTCTTCTTGCTCACTCTTTTCTGTTTCCACCTCTACTACCTACCTCTCCCTCATTCAAAACTGAGCCCATGGCCAGGGATCTTCTCTTCCTAGCCCGTGTCAAATGACCTGGGGCCACATGGGCCACTCATCCTTTACCCTGCCCTCTTCGTTCCATGATGTCTTTGTCCCCTGAGATAGCCAGCTTCCCACTCAGAAGGTGCCAGATCTTGCCATCACCCACAGCTGTTGCACACTCAGACCCTCTCCTTGAATGCAAGTCCACAGATACTGACAGCTTAGTTTTATGTCAAATCTCCATGCTAGGTTCTGGGAAAGATCAAACCTACTCCCTGGGTTCACACAGCTTACATCCTAGAGAAACATTAACTACCAAATGCCTAGTGACCTGGGGGAGCATAGGACACTGAGAGGCAGCAGAGGAAGAGCTGACATGCAGGCATCCAGGAAAGGGCTCCCTGGGACCTCACAGTGACACTTGGAGACAGCGAGGGTTTTGCCAAGAGCTGGAGAATTGGGCTTTGGATGGGCAAGAATAGCATTTATAAATCAAGAGAGGACAAAACTGATGGCTGACAAAAAAAAAAACCAAGATGGCTGAGACAGCTGGGAGAACAGTGTTTGGAGTGAGGCTGAGACAGACCAGGAAAGATCATGTAATATGCTCTTTGCAAATCCCTGTTAGTGATCTTGGACTTCATCCTAAAAACAAGACCAGGTCCTGGAAAGATTTATCTCAGGGTGACGCCTGTGGTTGCAGTGTGGAGCGACTGAAGCAGGGCTACCAATTTGGAGTGTGATGCAATGGTCTGAGAAACCATAATGAACTGAACTGGGCAGGGTGTGCTCAGTGGGCATGGAAGGAAATATCTGGGTTTTATAAGATAGAATCAGAAAGATCTGCTGATTTGGTTGGGTGTGGGGACCAAGCCCGGAGAAGAATTAAAGTGACACTCGGGTTTCTGCCTCTGAATGGTAATGCCATTTAATGAGTTCAGAGCCCCAGTAGATATGCAGGTTTGACGGAGCTGAGATGACTTCCATTTCAGACATGTTATGCTTGAGACACAAATAAGAAACCTGGTTATTCCCCCATCCTTCCTGGGCCACCGTAATCCCTATCTCCTTGTCTTTCTACCGGAGCATTTGTTAGGGTTCTTGGTGTCTTCACAACTAAAACATCTAGACTCTCAGTTCTTTGACCTCCTTGCTTCCAACAAGCTTTTTTTCCCCACTCACAAACCTTACCTCCTACACCTTGTCTGTACCAAGAGCAGTGCCATCCCTATCTTACTAGCTCACTCAATCTGGTTCTCACTAGAGCAACCCCTCCTCCCCATCCCTTAACCCACCCCTGGACTGCCCATTGACCCCCTCCACAGCCTCCCTTCTTTCCTTTGCAGCATAGACTCCCCAGGTTCCTGTAATCACTGCCTCCTAGGTACTCCCCACCCCTTGCTTTTGCATGTCTCTCTTGTGCTTTGCCTGGAGAGACCTTCTCCAAGAGGCATCTGTTGCTGGACCATCTGAAAAATCGCACAACTGGACCAACTGATCTCAATTTAAACATCTGACAGTGAAGCTCAAGCTGGGTACCCAGCATTTCTAAGCAATCCTACAATTTCCTAAAACTTTACCCCAACTCTCCAAGATGACTAGAACATACCTTTTCTTTGCTCATCCTCCAGCCCTGATCTCCCAGTCCTAGACTTGACTGACAGACAGCCATCCCATGTCCTTGAGAGGCAAGACCAGGAAGCAAATTCCAGTTCATCCTAACACATCTGCCATCCTCTTAGCATGCATACCCAGTCCCTCTGCCTTCTCCTCTGCAACGCGGATGAAGCACCCCTGTGCCTGGCACTCCTTTTCCACCTGGCCAGCAGACCCCATCACCTCATCTCAACTCCAGGCTGTGCTCTCTCTCCTTCACATAGCCCTTTTCTGAAAATATGCTATAGCACATGGCTTCTCTCCCCTTTTAATTCTCTCAACACCACCTCCTTCTCCAGTTGCCTACCATTCATTAACAAAAAGCAAAGTCTTCTAAGAGCTTTATGTGTTTGTCCCCTCGTTTTCATCCCGGTGGTCTCCAATACGCCAATGCCCTCGCTCCCATTGGGGGCCCCCTCCCTAAATTTCATCTTCTACTGACCTCCCCATCTAGCTTCCTATTCAGTCAAAAACTCAAGCCTGGGAAGATGACTCAGTTGGTATGAGTGCTTTTTGTGCAAGGGTAAGGATTGAGTTCAAACCCCATCACCCACATAAAATCTGGGCATGACTTCCCATGCCTGTAACCACTGGGGAGGGAGGAGGGAGGAGGATTATTGGGACTTGCTGGCCAACAGCCTAACCCCGGATTCAATGAGAGACCCTGTCTCAAAGGAATTAGGTGAAGCATGATAGAACAGGACACAAAAAGTCTTCTTTTGGGCTCCACACATTCATGTATAAGTGCATACACATACACCATACACACATGTGCCACAACACACACACACACACCTTCATAGAAAAAGGGGGAAATTACCTAGGAGCCTCTTTATTCAAAATCACACCCACATCATTGGCAAGTCATACTGGCAGTAATTCCAAAATATATTCAAAACCCAATCACTTCCTGCTATCTCCAAGCCTTTTAATCCCAGGCCAAGACAC